CTGTGTGACGCATGTACTTAACCTACACGCATGTAAATAATTATAGCGCATATACTGTATTAGAACTGCATCGCATAAAATTATTTAATTAAATCGTATCGTTTGTGAATTCACAATTATGCTTAATTATGATTTTTAAATAGGTTTAATATATCATGCAGCCTTGGGAAACCGTCTAATAATGTGTTTTATGGATTCTCGTCCGTGAAATGCGCCACTTCCGGTATTTTGCCGGTTAGTCGACGCGAGCAAAATGAAGTCGAGGATTTAAAAAAATCGAATAGTCGAATAAAATCGACGAATCGCGACAGCCCTAAATAATACCCATTATTCATTTATTTCTTTTAATACTTGAACGAAGAACTAAAAATGAAGTGTTTTTTTATTTTTATTCAAGTAAAATTTAAAACAAGTACTTAGACTTTACTGGAGTAATATTTTATTAGGGTATCTGTACTTTTACTCAAGTACTTGATTTGTGTACTTCGTCCATTTTGGTTTCGGTTGTATATGTAAATGAACAATGTTTTACCTGCATCCAGATATCTTTGATAAGGTACAAAGTTGTCCCTTAAATGGCACTGCTCCAGTGACAATCCTGTTGTACCCCTAAAGGAAAATTTTTTGCATGTTTTTTTTCTGACACTGCGCAGGATGTCAAAATATATTTCTCTGTGTTAGGTGTTTTAAAGGTATGATCAATAGTAATAGCGATGTTTGTCTTAGCAAGAACCATCAACTGTAGTTGATGTTAGCTCTATTTTTTAAATATACACTTCCTTGTGCACAAATAAACCTGTCCTGACAGAGTATGTGGGAAATCCCCATGCAGATTTCGAGCCCTGTACCGAGACCTCGGCCAGACCATCAACACAGCCAATGACGCGGAGGACCTCAGGTGGTGGAGGAACACCCATGGGCCAGGAATGAGCATGAATTGGCCACAGTTTGAGGTATAGTAAATTTCTCTCTGCAAAATGCTGTTTTGTTTAGAATATTTGCTACATCACAAGAATGCCAGGAAAGACGTTTACCAGACTACCAAACTTGAATGCTAACATTTGCTTAGAAAAGATATGACATTAACAGACCCAAACACTGCTGTGGAGTCGTCAACCATAGAGCTGTTTTGGCCCTGGGCTCCAGTGATGGTGAATTTCTGATAGGCAGAGCGTGAATGAGCTATTGTCTTTGCACGGCCCATGAGTGGGTTCTGGAATGCCGGATCCCTCTCCCTAATGGCAGTCCCCTCCCCCTTCCTTTCCAGCCCTCCCCACAACACAAACACATGCAGACACACAGTGGCAGTGTCAGCATGTCCGTTTGTGCAAATGAGGTTTGTACATACACAACTGTATGTGTACGGATGTGCCATGGAGTCTGAGTGTGTCCGAAATTTAGAAATCCCCCATGGTGTGAATGTTTAATCGAGCAGTAGGAGAGTGAATAGCAGTCACAGAGCTAAAATGAAGCTTTTAGTCAAGTTTGCCCAGGTAAGTGACACCTCCAGAGGAAACTTCTGGCATCCTCCCTGCTCTGCCAGCACACTGGAGCCATTTGTATGGCTGTAAATAAGCACAGCTCTCTCTCTCTCTCTCTCTCTCTCTCTCTCTCTCTCTCTGTCTGCACAGTGATAGAAGGCTGACTGGATGATGGTCTCACATGTGACTGTGAATATAAGTGATGTTATGTCACGGTCACATTGTGTGACTGATCTGTCTGTATTCTTGTTCTGCTTTAAGGCAAGGTTGTTTTCTAGGATTGATTGAACCTAATTTGAGTAATTTTGTAAAAAGAAAATGAATAAAAAGGTATATATAATAAACAGTATATTTAGTTTTGAACTTTAGTTCTCCCTTGTTATTAGAAGGGAAAACTGGGTGTGAAATAATGTAGTGACAGTATAATGTATTGCATTGTCATTGCTTATTGCAATAAAAAATGAACATGCAACACAAAATGCTGTAAAATTTGAAGGTAAATTGTTTGTTGGAGTGCTTTTTAGCAACTTATTCTCAATCAGACATAAGATTCATCTGACATGGACTGAATCAGTTTGGGTGACTCACAAATCATTTTAGGTTGTCTGTATACGAGTATATATACATATACATATACACACACACACACATACACACACACACACACACAAATATATATATGTACACACACACACACACACACTTTGCATTATTATTTTCATTATTCTTTTTTTAAATACGTCATTAAAATCTAAACATTACAGGAATGAGAGGTAGTAAGTATAACACAAGTTAGCTACATATATGGATTTTCACATGTGCATTTCATGTTTTAACAGGAGTGGTCACCAGAAGCAAACCGATCCATCAGTCGAAGAGAAAGAAACAGTCATTCTGATGACGTGGTCACTCTGACTAATATTGTCTCAGCAGGAGACGAACCCCCGAAGACTCCACAGGAAACTACAAGGTACATCTGACTACTGCATACTCATATGCTCACAAAGAAATATTTGTATATTTTAGAAATATTTTTGCATTGAAATGTAAAAATGGGAAATGTAAAAAAGTGAATTTGATTTAAAAATAAATATAAAATAATTGTAAAAATGTCAAACATGTACAATTTTGTTTAATTTTTTAAATTAATACAGTTTACCCTCAGTCAAGTTTAGTTTTTGGAACTTTAAATTGAACATTTTGGGCACTTTTTACAGTTCACTTCTGTGTGAAAAAAGTTGATTAAAATGGTGACAAGTGAGATTTTAGCAATTATAGCAATTAGTCTTACAAATGCATATTTTTTTTATTGCTGATACTGATCTGGAGTGCAGAGTGCTTGATGGCCATTATAATGACTTCATATAATACAATTTAATGATACCAAATAAGGTGCACACAAAATTGGTGCAACATGAACACACTATTTCCTTAAAATTCACACAAGAATATTTAAAAAAATATATATATTTGTCAACCACCCAAATATAGATGCACAGCTTGAGTTTCATATTGTGCTACAATGACAGTCCAACTTTTAATTGCAGTGTTGTATTTAGAAGTGGAGGGTTGTTATTGTTTTGTTTTGTTTTTTTAATTATCCTGGCAACAGTTCTTCCCTGAGGGCTTCACTCACTGCTTTTAGTACCAACTACACCAATTAGCACTGAGTCAGCACATTCAGACTCTGTGTGTGTGTGTGTGTGTGTGTGTGTGTGTGTGTTAGGGTAGCACATTAACATAGGATCAAAGGAGGTCAAAGGTATTAGCTAAATGAAGTGCCTGGAAAGAACTGAGAAGGTCTGGTACAGATATTATAGATGGCTCATGTTTGTGTGGTGTATCTGAATCTCTCTCACAGGGAACAGGGGCACACAGGAGAATGCCTGTTAAATTGCAGTATTAAATGTGGCTCTCTGCAGCTTCCTGCTTATTAGTCTGGTCTCTGTTGACTCTTAATTCCACAGGTGGCTTGAGGCGGATGGCTATTACGAGAACCTAAGTGGCTATGCACCGGGAGTGTCAGTGCAACTTTTTTTTTCTTGACCTCCTCTCTCGGAGTACAGACAACAGCTCTGTTCTAAAACCTAGTTAGCAGCCTACCTAGACAGTATTTTAAGGAATCATGGATGCACTCCTGACACAAAGGTTGTTACAAAAGTGGGTATTATGCAGTAGTGATATGCTGAAATTCCAGCTATTGAAACATTTCGGCAAGAAAAGGCCAAAATGGTTCTGGAGGGCCAAAATCATTGACCAAAACAGTGACATTTAATTAGTGTTTCTCAGGTTGTGCCTTTTGACTGGATCAATGGCTATTTTGTGAACACAACATGGATAAGCTACAACAGATAAATGGGTCAATTATGTGAACAAAACTTCTAAGTTAGTCATTTTTGAGGTTCCATTTACTGTAGGTTAGAATATTGTCTTAGAAGGCAGCTGCCAATGTAGGCAGCAAATAGCAAGGTAGCTCACTAGGTTGTGGAACAGAGCTAACCAGATTTTCACAACAAGAACATTTTGAGATCTATCAGGATTTTGTAGTTTATATATAGTATTGCTGCAATTAAGATTAATCAAATGAACCTATTTGATCCCAGTCCCGTGTGAGAGCCAGTCATTGGTTCCAAGCTAAAAATTGTTCAGAGCAGTATGCTTAAATCAAGTTTTTAACAATTACACTTTTTATTAGTTTTTTGCAGTTTCCTCTTTAAAAAAAATCTATATGAATCCTCATTTCTAGTGCTGCTTTATTCTATTTTTCTTTGAGTAAATATTGAAGGAATGTTCCGGGTTCAGTGCAAGTTGGGCTTAGGGATGTTCATTTTAACCGTTTAACCGACCGTAAGACTTTTGACCGATTAATACAATCAGTTAAACGGTTTAAAAAGTCATTTAATTATTTATTTTTTCAGTAATTTATCAAAATGTTTAAAAAGGTTTGCTGCATGGTTGTTTACCATATGTGCATTCTCTAACACGCATATTTTAGATTCATAATTAATTTAAAAGCCTCTGGTGTGTAAAAAATAGTAAATATCAATGTCCTCCTGTTTTTTTACCCTAATAAAAGTTATAGGAGCATTAAATAGTTAATAAAGAAACTTCATTCTAATGCTCATTATAGTAGCGTTAGCCGCACTTATGCTAACGATTAACTACTCTAATAACAGCGTT